AAGATTTTCACTTTCATGATTTATTGAATTTTGGTAGTGCTATTATGCGACATGTTGGAAAGTTGTCATCGAGATTTCGGGAAAATGTTATGCAAGATTGAAATTCGTGATTTAACATGGAAATAGATGGTAAATGAATTAGTGGTCTGAGTATACGTACTTATCTTCAAGCGTGTAAACACACACATGGTATTTATGTTCTCTCTATTTTTTACTCTTTAGCTTTGATTCAATCATTTAAACACTTGGTTTGTTTTACTGTTATTTATGGTGAATTAGCTATCGGCAGAGAATTTTTCGCCAAATAATTCTATATCTTCGGTGATTTCTTCTGACACGTGTTTGCAGGTGGACGAGACTGAATATATTCATTCGAACATGGCTACGCCTTAATCTGGTAGGAAAAGGCAGACCTCAACATTATGGTGGCGAATTTTCGTTTCAGCCTATGCAGGTAATGAACTTTTTGATCCTTAGCGGTGTCTCAGTATGTACCTTGAGAAAACTAAAACCTTTCGGAAAATCAAAACTAAGAACCTTCAGACGGGCCTCTTTATATCATACGTTTCACCTAATAAGCATATAAAAAGTCAGACAATTGCACGTTGGATTGTGGAATTAGTCCACATGGCATACAAATCTGGGTTGTCGGTTAAGGCGCACACCACAAAGCAATTGCCCCATCTTGGACCCTATTTTAGGGAGCATCAATAAAAGCTATTCTTGATGCGCCCAACTGGAGTTGTCAGTCTACGATTTTAAATATTAATACTTTAAGTTATGATGACGTAGGCAATAATAATTATTATTAATAAAAAAATGAAATACTAAAAATAAAAAATAAAGAATATAACGAATGAAATGAAATTGAAAAATATTGTTTTTTTCAAGTTCCAATTTTATGAATGAGTTAAACTTACCAGTCCTATTCCCCATCCAACCCATGTGTGCATCCTGTGGTTTTCAGTAAACAGCTCCCTAGAGGTTAGCTCCACAAGGAAGGTGGAGGTAGAGAGGTGTAGGTTTGATTGGCAAGAAACTAGCGAGTTGAGAGAACATTTAAGAGAGATGTATCCAAATGTATTCTGACTGTAAGTTTAACCAATGACATGAAATTGACAATTTTTGGGCAAAGGGGTGCAACTCTTATCTACAAAGGTAGTCATTTTAGCCGGCGACCATTGAGCTGGACTATTTATTTAATAAGGCATTCTAGAATCAAAAGCTTTCGTTATATAAAACATGTAATATGACGTATTGTAAAGAATGAATTCATGGAATGGAATGGATATATTCTAGGATGATGGAAATATAGGACACGGATTCTGTAAGATAAGTAAATTATATTTACTTAATTAATTGTAAACATATTAGCAGCGACAAGAAAATGTAAATATCCGGTCTATTTTGGTAGTGCTATTATGCGACATGTTGGAAAGTTGTCATCGAGATTTCGGGAAAATGTTATGCAAGATTGAAATTCGTGATTTAACATGGAAATAGATGGTAAATGAATTAGTGGTCTGAGTATACGTACTTATCTTCAAGAGTGTAAACACACACATGGTATTTATGTTCTCTCTATTTTTTACTCTTTAGCTTTGATTCAATCATTTAAACACTTGGTTTGTTTTACTGTTATTTATGGTGAATTAGCTATCGGCAGAGAATTTTTCGCCAAATAATTCTAGATCTTCGGTGATTTCTTCTGACACGTGTTTGCATGTATTCTGACTGTAAGTTTAACCAATGACATGAAATTGACAATTTTTGGGCAAAGGGGTGCAACTCTTATCTACAAAGGTAGTCATTTTAGCCGGCGACCATTGAGCTGGACTATTTATTTAATAAGGCATTCTAGAATCAAAAGCTTTCGTTATATAAAACATGTAATACGACGTATTGTAAAGAATGAATTCATGGAATGGAATGGATATATTCTAGGATGATGGAAATATAGGACACGGATTCTGTAAGATAAGTAAATTATATTTACTTAATTAATTGTAAACATATTAGCAGCGACAAGAAAATGTAAATATCCGGTCTAATTTCAAGCGGCGCTACTAACCTGGTAGTGCCCTAGCCTGGAACTCTGAACTTTGGAGAAAGCTAGTAGGCATAAAAAATTCATAAAATCGAAACTTGAAAAAACAATTTTCGATTTGATTTCTGCTGCTAGACATAAATACATGATTAAGTTAAATTAAGTCTAAACAAAGATAACATTGCTTATTTGGCTTTAGAGCTTAACATTAAAATATTTTTAGAATATAGTCTATATTATATAGTATATTATATAAATATTATAAACACTTAATTCTCTTTTCTGACAACTTTTTAATTCTATACACCCCAAACTACCATAACAGTTAAACTCAACTATACATAAACTTAAGCTTAATTTTCTCATATCGTGTATAAAACATACGTCTTATAATAGAAACCGAAAGCTAAGCATTTCTGGGGAACAATATAATTCTTTTTCCTTTTCCTTGAAATAGATATTTCCTTTTTTCAATTTATTACATTTTATCGTAAGCTTAATTAATTTCTTTGTTATTTCGTATTTTAAATCCTTTTATATAGGGAATATTCTTGTCATAGTAGCTATGACTCGTTCATATTGGTAAAAGCTGGAAAGAGATTTTTTAGGCTTATTTCTTTGGGTTTGTATTCCAATGTTCAGTCAGAAATTAAAGCTTATAAGTGTGTATCAGAATTATCCGCGTTTGAAAGTTAAAATGGCAACTCATCTTTTTTGAGACTTTGCTAATAGAAAAAATACAGAAAGTGAAATTTTTAGTTTGAGGGAAGAGATAACGTCTGAAGACTATTTACATTATGTTCAAAACCCAAATCAATCCCCGAAAATTAGGTTTGATGCAAATCGATAACATCTGTGTCTTTGATAATTTTTCATTTTGAGCAATATGTGCAACCTTGAAAATTAATGGTACCATCCTTTAATCCTTTTTGTGTTTATTGCGGACACTTTATATTTTGGATATTCAATTGTTGAAACACAGATGAAAACTGTTTTTTGGACAGAGCTATCTATATAAGGACATGACAAACCTTAAAAGAAAAGCTCTGAGCCCCTTGTTCCCAACCTGAGGTACCTATACCCCTGGTGTATCTGTGAACAGCAGTACTCGAGAGCCCCCAAAGACATGGCAGCCAGACACGGAAAAGGGGTACTTCTAAGCTATAATGTTGGTAACCAATGCTCTTAGCAATCCCTTTCAAATGTAAATTCATTACATTGTTATATTGACGACTGCCCCGTGGGACAATAACTAAAAAACGTATGTAAAGAGATATTCTATATAGATTAGTTTGAAAACTTCCGCAAGAACAAATAACCTGTGTTGGAAATTTTTTAAAGAAAAATCAATCCATTTCAAATTGATTAAGATTGACATGTTCCAAATCAATAAGTCACAGACTGGGCGTTGATTAGTGGAACCATGACGTGAATAGGGAAGGATAATAGACATATAATGCAAACACAATGAGTTTTTGAGTTCCAAATGTCGGAGGTGGTTTGACAGCTACATTAGCTACACTATCATATCGATGATCAGATAATGAGGAGTTAAATAGGGAATATATCAAATTTAGAATGTCATATCATATCAAACTACCAATTTTTTTCTTGATATAGCAGTTTTATAGTTTAATCACACTACAGTCATCCGTGTTACGTTGTGATTTCAAAAAATCATGTTATTTGGTTATACCTGGTCCGACGATAAACATATGAAAGCCAATTCTAATAAAAAAAACGAGCGCAATTTTGGTCTAATTTTAATTAGATTGTTGCTGTGAAACGTAGATTGTTGTCCTTAATTGTTAATTTCGCCGATCGAGATCCTGATGAAAAATTGTCATATCAATAATCAACAGAGTAGCTAATGTATTTCCAATCAACACTATTTACAAAATAACTTAAATATTCTTCTTCCTTGGTTTTTAAATTGAGTTCACATTGATGTTCAGCAATTTGGTAATTACAAGATCGACACCATGACGTCTGAAAGCAGGCTAAAGGAACAATGAGTTATTGTTGGTGACTGCATTGTCAGTCCGGTGTTGTTTAGATGTCTACCGAATTTAATTGCAAATCTTTCATTGGAAACTGAAAAAAAACCTAATCCATTATTTGAAATATTGCAGCGAAAGTGCTCGTCAATAAATAGAATACAACTAGAGACTTTAACGTCATGGAATTGAATATTACTGACATGCTGATGTATCTGGGATGCCAACTTTAAATAAGAGCTGCCACAAGAATACATAATTCAAAATCGCAAATTGTGTGTTTCTTTAAGATCACACGGTCCAAGAATCTTTAAGAAAATCGATAGTCAAATATTTAGTGATAGAATTATATTTGTTTTGAATAAGCATGTATTTTAACAAATTTGAGATCGATATAAAATTATAGCAGACACCACGTATATTCTTTAAAAATTACATAAAATTATTGTTTGAGGTTAAGATTTTAAGTGTATTGGATGGAGGATTTTAAAACAGACAGACAGAATGCCAATAGAAATAAAAATCAAAAGTTTTAATCACTTCCGGTTTGGGCGTGGGAACTTCCGGTTTCTCAAAAACCGCTTTAGTTAACTCACAAATGTCTACAAAAACCATAAAAAGATTATCAACATTATATAATTCAAACCATCCAAGAAGAAAAAATCAAAACCGGAAGAGATGTATTAACTGTTATCTAACAGTGACGCGTTCGCCATTTATTATACGATTTGTAAGATATAAGTGTGAAATGTCCTTGACCTCAGCTATCTATAGATATGCTGATAATGGAGTATTTAAATGGCATTTAGCAATTCTAAACATAATATATAGGCACAGTTTTATGGAACAACAATCACTGGATAAATTGTGGGGAAAACACGTCGAAACGTTGCATAAAACATTAACCAGAGATTGTTCCATAGAGATGTGCCTGTATATGCCTACAATGGATGAAAACACCAACTTCCGGTTTTATAGCCTACCAAAAATTTACAATTTGGCAACTCTCTAATAAGTTTGATTTTTTTTCATATTTTTAATGGCCTTAAAATTCTCTTTTTAACGATATATGACAATAATGCATGAACATTAAAATTTAAATTTTTTCAACTCCAGTCCCAACATCAAATGTTTTTTTTTATCCCACATCAATGTGGTTTTCATAATAAGAACGTACCCGTTTTTCTCTCTTAACGTTAAGTGACATTGATAGTTTGCCATAAAAATTAAACTCCTTAACATCTGACTAAATATTTAAAAAATCTAAATTTTGTGTTTTTATTTCATAAAATAAAATCCTAATGTGTGGAATTGATTGACAGTTGTTAAAGAGACATTTGTGGTATTTCCGGGAATACATCATACGTTGGTCCCAGAAACGTGAATCAGTATTAATATTCACAGCTCATCGTCGAAATTTGAGCTTTCAAATCCATGTATATCAATAAGTATCTATGTTATGAAGTTATTTTATGATGTTAAGGGACTTTTAGTTTGAATATCTGTTGATGACGTCTGGTGTACACGTAAGGAATAAAAAAGAAACTGCTCATCGAAAAATCTGACCAAACCTAGGCTATGTTGGTATACCTGGAGTGTCCAAGAAACTTTTTAATATATTTATTTGGTATATTTAGTATGCACCAATACGTCGATGACATTGTTAGTGGATAATACTGTCTGGGGCGTCAACCCTCAACTTCCGTCTCTTCAGAAGGCATTCCTAACTCGGTATAAACGAGTCGGAGGTCATTATCTTTCTTATATATCATTTTCCTAATTAGATAATTTGTAAATATGTTAAAGGATCAAATATGTGATGTGTTTAAACGTTCCGGGAATTTTCAGAAATAGATAATTGGAACATCTAATTCTACATAAAAAAAAACGATACAAATCCTCCGAAAAACAATTACGCTCTAATGGTTTATTTTTAATTTTTAACACCAGGGCAGATGTGGCCTTTTTTATGGAAGGGGGGGGGGGGGGGGGTTAGTTTTGAATATATATAAACAGTCTTTAGAAGTTCTAGAAATGTATGAAAATCATAAAATACTTTATACTCGTTACTCGTTTTTTCTATATATACATATTTCAGTATGTATTTGCTATATATCACAGGGTATCTTAATATGACGAGTCATTTTAATTTTCAAATGCAGATAATTCTCGACATGGATTTGAAGGCTCGAATTCCGACGGTGAGCTGTAAACACTATTACTGATTGGCCTAGCTAAATAAATATCCGTCATCATGACGTACGAAACAACTTGAAAAAAGATAACACGTGCCAAGATTTCAAAGAGATTTACCGCCATAAGTTTATAAGGGATGGAAAATAGATACTCAACATTAAACATACCATTTAGTTGACGTCCACAAACCCCACGAAGAGTTTGAGCACAGTGGTTCAACCTTATTTTATATTGAGAATGC